CGACTCAGGGTTTGAAATCAGTAATTWTGTCAATCTTAGGGTAATGATGACAAGAATCCACCAACTGTGTTCCCTTTCATTGTACAAGACTGCCATAAACCTGCGTTTTAAGTAGCCTCCGTAGCAGACGTTCCAAGCGGTTCGATTCTCTCCCGCAGAAATCGAACCGCTTGGAACGTCTGCTACGGAGGCTACGTTTTAAGGTCAACAATGTTGCTACAATAGTTACACGAGCAGACCGCGTTTTAGGCATTCAGGCTAATGCTTAAGTACAAATACACACACCTATCGAAAAGCTACCTGCAACTACAACAACGGCTATTTTTTTCTGCACTTCGTTCTTTTACGTTTGTTTGCCTAAAATATTTAAAACAAAGCTTACAGGACAACTTGACGTTGCGTTATGTCATGCCTCACTGAACTTCCGAGATTTTGTACAGTTATTTTCTTTTCACAAATTTAGTTAATACCAAGCTTTTATTGAGCATATGAAATGGGTTTCCTCAGGAAAGCCKGGGAAAAGATATAGTCATGTAATCGGTCATGTAATTAACCCAAGGCCGTAGTGAATTTGTTCTCTGCCCACCCCATTACAAGCTTCAATKATGTATTGTTAGCCAACTATCTACAGACGTCGAGTTTATTTGTAAGGCTCAGCTTTGCCTTAATAAAGCTGGACGTCTAGCTTACCGTGTTCAACTCCCAGGATAAGTAAAAAAGCAATCCACCAAGCCATAGGTTCAATCTTTGTCGAGATTCAAATACAACTCAATAACAGCTTTTTGATGTACTGGCGGCCCGAGTCACCGTGGGTTCAACATGATTTGCAATTCTAATTTGAGTGAGTTGTCTGAGTGCGATGCTTCGATATTGASGCAAAAAACCTGATTCAACGAATTTGAATTCCACGCGCTAAAAAATGTCGCCGCGACTACAAGATACCTTTTTCGCGACTCTCGCGGTTGCTGTGACCAGCTGGTACACACAATTTTGCTTGCATGATTCTCAAATTTATGGAGTTGCATAACCCAATAATACAATCGGCGGCTCGTCCAAATCTCTTTTACCCAAGGGACCATCATGCAATATATTTTTTATCATAAAATTGTCTATCATGATCATGGAAAACAAAAAACAATAAAATTTGTGCTCTTTTTATTATTTTATCAAAAATATCAAGTTTTTGAAATTGAGAAATATAGATATTTTACGGATAATAAGTGCCCTATCACATAATAGTCAACTTTAGATATTTTGGTTCGATGATATGACTATGTACAAAAGAACGCACACGAGGCTCCGGGGAAACAATGGATAATCTTGATTTATTCTTTTATTTCCCCGGAGCCTCGTCTGCAATTCTTTTGTGCATGGTCACTGAACCAAAATATCTAAAGTCGGCTATTACAGCACACCAACGGCTATTACAGCACACCAAAGATATACCATTGTTTTAACGCTACGTTATGGTCCCCAGAGGGTGATAAAATGACAGCATATTAGAGAAATATACCGTTTGCATTATGCGTAACTTTACTACAACTACCAGAGAGCCATGCGCATTTTCATTGTTATTCAGATTTTGGCACTATATTGCATTACAAAAGAAAGTTGGCAAAGCATTCTGGTAGTTGTAGTAAATGACGCCATAATGCATATCGCCTAATGATACATAAGTAATCATTGTATAAAACTAAACATAATTGAGGGTGAATATAAAATAGTCCCGAGTTTCCACTGTTTCTGAGCATTTACTTCCACTGTAAACATGCTGTGACGTCATTATGCGAGAGGGCAATTGCATGATAAGGTCCAGATAGAACTCCAACTCAACCAGATAAGCCGAACTTCAAAATCAACTTAAAARCAAAATCATGTTCAATACGGTTAATCCCAGCATTAACGTTGTTCAATTGATGGTTTTCAACCATTCCCAGGAGAGAAAGTTGAACAAAAGATGTCCGCCATTGCCAGTGGACCTGACAAAAGAAAACCACTACCGTGACTGGTGGACCTTTTTGTTTTGCTCACTCTCATGGGAATGGTTGAAAACCATCAATTGTAAAGAGAAATAAAGTCATTTTCATAAAAAAAATATTTCTAACATTTCCGGGAAGTATTTCAATGTAAAACTCCAGATAAATAGCAAGACTGAATGTTGTTGACATTGTAAAGAAGTTTTTGAATATTCTTGGAAAGAGAAATTAAATAATTAATATATGCAAATGATTTTGTTTTTATGTTTTTTTTCTTTATGTGAACAACGTTAATGAGATTGACTGTAATTGTAATAAATAATAATAATAAATAAAGACAAATTGTTTGACAAATCGTCAAAACTCTGTTTTTAATCACCGAGTGTAGTTTAGATTGTGCATTTCCACACAAAATGTGCTATATAAATATAAAATATTTAGACAAAAATCTTTAATATATATAAATAACAAAATTCTTTACAGCATCCAGAGATATAGCTATTGCGTACATATATACAACGATACCCAGMTCGTCCCACAATTCCCAGTTCATGAGAATTTTTGAGTCAATTTTCTAATATAGCGTTTAATTATTTAATGGTACAGCGACGAGGAACTCGGTCGCTTTTGTCCAAGTCGACTTTGGGAATCTTCGCTCCAAGATAAAACGATCTGGAACAACTCCTTCTGATAGAAAAAGAAGATAGATTATCAACAGCAGTAACAACAAGAACAGCAGTAGTAAAATCAGCGATAAACGATTAAAACTGAATACAATATGAAGAATTATACAGTGATGTATCGACGAAGTCGCAAGCTTCACGTCAATCAATCAATTAATCAATCAATCGATCAATCAATCAATCAATAAATAAATAAATCATTCAACCAATCAATTAATCAATCGATCAATCAATCAATAAATACATTATTCAACCAATCAATTAATCAATCGATCGAYYAATCAATCAATAAATACATTATTCAACCAATCAATTAATCAATCGATCGATCAATCAATCAATAAATACATTATTCAACCAATCAATTAATCAATCGATCGATCAATCAATCAATAAATACATTATTCAACCAATCAATTAATCAATCGATCGATCAATCAATCAATAAATACATCATTCAACAAATCAATTAATCAATCAATCAATCAATCTATCGATCAATCAATCTATCATCAATCAATCAATCATTCAACCAATCAATCAATCAATCAATGGGACAGTACGTGACGTCATACCTTGCATTGATTTGGTAGTGTGGCTGTGATCTGGTGGACTATCCAACATTTTGTCCTGAAAGAACATTAACATTTGTCAGCACAATGGCCGATGAACATCAGGGAAAAGACAGGAGCGAAGGGAGAGAGGGAATAAAAAAGAAAAAATAGAATTGATTGCTTACCTGGATAAAGTTCTCGAGAAGGGCACAGCTCACTTCTTGTTCGATAATAGCTTTGTTTTCTTCGTTCTCATAACACGAAGCAATGAGAGTTGGGAACAAAATACTCCTTAACCTGTTGAGGTTGGGTAACATAAAACAATCACATATAAATAAAAGAAAAACACTTCAGGAAATAATAAAACAAATATGTGTCACAAACAATAAACTTTCTTTTTGCATTGCCAACATGTTGACAGAACAAAACTACAAACAATATCATTTCTGATGAGTTCCCTTATAGAAAAAAAATTCTGACCCAATTGCTCTATTTCATTATGACGTCACAGTATGTTTACATCGGAAAACGATGCTCAAAAACAGTAGAAATTTGAACCAAATTAATATTGTCGACTAAAGTAGAACTTCAGTGAATCGCATTTTGATATATATCATGTATAAATGATTGTCCATGTACATTTTATTTGATATGCAGTCACTCTGATCCCTTCTGGCGACCATAATGAACTAGGGCAATTTAAGACAGCAAAATCGTGAAATTCCCCTAYCCAATTCAAGACACGAAGGCCAAAAACCATACCATCATATAGGGAAGTACCTCCCCTCCCCCCGGATAGAAAGCTTATTTGTAATCATTAATTCTGACATACCTTGGRTCACTGAAGTACTGGAATGGTAGACCACATAACTGCTGCAGAAGAGTTGGATTACGACCAGACTGAATAAATACCTGCATACAGATACCAAAATATAAAGTATCAGCTTTTATATCCGTAAAGGCGGGAGGAGTGTTGATCGAATTCTTTGACCGTTCGCCACATGTAAACGGAATTGTTGAGTTTTGTATAATATATCAAAAAAAAATTAACGTGAACCAAACAATCCTCACCTTTGAGGGAGGGGAAAGAAAAAAATGTGAGGGTAAAACTCACCTGATTTTCCTGATTCAACACAGTAAAATAACCGACAATTAGAATTACTTCGTGTAAAAGGTCTTCAGGTGCTCCTTCTCCACATATCCTAAACATTAAAAATAAAGCTTTTGAGTTGCTTGTTTTWGTTTTTCTTGGTGTTTAGACAACTCTTGTCGATATGAAATGCTCAATGCTCAAGTGAAGCGAAGAGTGTTACGACACAAATCACAAGTGCGCTCTTAAACACTGTAAAACCGTCCCAATGCAAGCCCCAGCAAACCCAGTGTAAACCCAAAAGTAAGGATCAAATATTGATACTTTTGTTACGTTTTTGTCGTGCTAGATTTTCACATGACATTTGTTTTTCTTGTGTTTGGCCTTGCGCTTAGCATTGCGCTTGTGTTTGGCGTCGCATTGAAGTTGTAACTTGAATATCCTATACGTTACCTACCAGAGTAAATAGCTGACTATGTGACGAAACTCCAGGGAAACTCCCTCACTTCCAAGAGAACTCTAAAACAAGTACAAAACAAACATTTTTTCCACCATGCGACAATAGCCGACTTTAGATATTTTGATTTAGTCGCCATGCACAAAAGAATTGCAGACGAGGCTCCGGGGAAATAAAAGAATAAATCAAGATTATCCAKTGTTTYCYYRGAGCCTYGDGTGCGTTCTTTTGTACATAGTCATCAAACCAAAATATCTAAAGTTGACTATTGTCCGTCTATAGCTTGAGACAGGAAACCCGAGAATTGAATCCCTATGTGAAAGTTACTACAATCTCGTTCCCAGTGCCTTGCCAGAAAAGAAGCCCTGGGCACGAGGTTTGAAGATTGATATTCCCCTAGTCGTATTACGTCTTACCTGTAAAGCCTTGAGGTCAACACAAGCCATGTTATTCAACGCCCGAAGACCTTCGATGGCGACTTTGATTTGGTACTCAGGGAGGGGAGGCGGGGGAGAAAAATGTCGCGCCTGTCCATCGGACAATATCATTGTATATAAGGTTGAAATTATCCCTGGGGAAAAAATTATATTTAAGTAAAACTAGAAAAGAATGTAATGCTGGTCCATGATGTGCTATTGTGAGACAGCCAACTGGCTGCTTTGTTAAGACGTTGAGTGAGTCTCCTCACAGCCGTGTTTAGTTTCGGTCACGCGTCACGTAACCTCTTGCGTGACACGTGACCGAAACTAAACACGCCTAGTGTAACACTGATACTACGCCAAACGAAATTGCCACACTTACCAACAAGTTCTGTTTGCTGGAATGTGATGACAAACTGGGTGGTGTCTTCTCTTTTGGCTTCAAAGACGTTACCACTTCTACAGGGAAAAGACAAATGGAAAGTAATTAGTGAAATGTTTATTATTGGTTTTTGTAAATCTCTTAAGATTTAAAGGGCAAAAGATAAACATAATACATACGATAGACAAATAGACGTATTATGATCAATGCCACAACAAAGTTTCAAAAACCACAYAAATAGAGGATATTACATGGGCGCGCTCAGATACGTATTTTATCTTCGAGTGTTGAAAAGATAATTATATGATAAACATGTTTATACGTAATCTCGCACGCTGATTGGCTGATAAGAGTGTGTAAATAAGAGGACATAGACACTGTGCTGACAGCACATCAAGTCTCGCGTGCGCGCTCAAAAGAATGATTTTCGCTAGGAATTTTTAGACTTATTAAATGTGGTAAAAAAAACAAATTGCACATGATTTTTCGTTGTATGTCCTCGTATTGACACAATCTTGACGTCATAAAATGTCCATTTAACTCAAAACCATGCGCAGTTTGTTAAATATAACTGTATTAAGACAATAGTACAATACAATAGTTACCTAGACCCTAGAAACCGCGGTATAGATGAGACTAGCTTCATACAATTGTAAACCATATCCACCATTACGGYGTCTTCACCAAACGGTTCTTGTATAGACGTCAGGTAAACTCGAATATCATCAATCAAATCAGAACACACGATATAACTGAAAACAAAAACAATGATTGACAGTAAGATAATACTACAGGGTTATACTACTATCGTGTTGTGTGTTCCGAATGAAGCAGTTGAGAACTAAAGATAAATCTCAGCTGAATACGTCACAAACTTTTAATACTAAATACTGAGACACTGCATTCMGAGACCGCAATGCATTGGTGGTATTTAAGTCCACGTTAGCTGAAGTGAAAAGTGACAATTTTCTTTGATTTCTTAAGAAAAAAACTCCTGCTTGATGATGCTTGATGCTCGGGTGACTTTCCATTAGAAAGCAAGTTTTTTTTCAGTTCTTTTATTTCTTTTCTTTTCCGAATGACTCCTCTCGGAAACCTACCTTATAAGATCAATATTTCTCTGTAATGCAGTCGACGAGGCTTTTTCGTCTTTGTGRGGAATGACAAGCGATTGGATGACGGTTGCTAAGATACTAAACAGTGCAGATAYCAAGGGGTCTCCTTGGCAACGAGATGGGGTATCCTTAGATTCGGATGATTTCCTTAATGCTTGGTTTGTTGTGACATCAGAACAAAAGATCTAAAAAAGACCAAAACTTTTAATCAAACAAGATCGAATCATGCTTACAATTACAGGCAACTCTACTATGTTGGATTCCTATGTTAACGGTTCTTAAGCTCTCGACACCAGTTCTTTTCGGTCAAGATATGGACACAGGAAGACCAAGAACATAAAAAAGTCCGTTTCCGTTGGAGTAGCGTATAGCCTGCGAAGTGGATCAACTCAATACCTACCCTAAGCTGRTAAGCCAGTAGATCTACTACAGAGGCCAACTTGTTTGTGAAAACCATGTACTGACTCGTCTCGTGACACTCGCTGCATATCAATGTAGAGGCTTGGACCACGTGACAAAGAACACTGAAACGACAAGCGTTACCATGGAAACTACACTGCCATGAAATAATTGTATAGTCACGAGTTTCAAAGTTAGTTTTTAAGTTAGAAACCAGCATTAAGAAGCTTATGTAAAGAACCATTTGCCTTCCCATACTCCCTTTCGATCGTACTTTCRATGATGTAAGATTTTAGCACTGGACAACATTTTGTACACCACTTACCGATCAGGTATGATAGGTGTAGAAGTTGTTTTAGAATCAGTTACATCAATGACTAATAAAACTCTAGCCAAGGCAGATAATCCACCAAGATTACAGAACGTTAGCTTATCGGTTGCATCCTGGAGAAAACGATAAAAAAACTGTTACTCCTCTAGCTTAAATACAATAAAGAACAAGCATTGTTTCCCTGGCAAGTCTTTTTATTTATCATGCTCCAGTGTAATATATTCAAATATTTTCTGAATCTTTCTCGATAATGGATAAGTTAAACGCTAATTTTGMAAAGAAACGTCTACCTCCGTAGTTTTTGATGCATTTCGCCAAAACATACGTGACGCCATTATTTCAAAGAGCTACAGTCTGCCTAACAAGAGTTTTGYGTGCACTGACTTCTCTACAGTATTTCACTTACTTCAACTATTCTCATGAGTTCGCCCACCGACCGGTCTAATGACGTCACACGGTTTGACGGCCAAGGGCCTGAGCCCTGAACTTGAAGATATCGRTTGATGTCTTTGACTATCTTTTGTAACCTGGAAAATAGAAACAAACACGTTAATAAAATACTAGCTTCGCCTAGTGCTTCGTCCCCAGTACCCTGCCCATGGGGATATTTTGAAAGTCGTGAATACGATTTGTTAGATATTTGACCAATTGATGGTGCGATAGTGGGGCTGTTTTGTTCTGTTTTGCTTTCCAAGGGGGAAGGGGTTTGCTGAAATGTACCTGGCACGTTTTGCAGAGTCTTGCTTTGGTGGTGCTGTGCTTGATAATGTGCTCTCGTACTCTCTTCCCCTGGAAACAAAGAGAAAGTCAAGACGAGGAAAACAAATATGAAAGTACAGGAACGAATTGTCGGTTACTTTCGAGTCTCTTGTATGTTTGTCAGTATTGTTTGTTGTTGTTGTTGCTCCTGTTTTTTCGTTTGTTTTGTTTTGTTTTGTTTTTTTTAGTTCTGTGCTTTTTATTGGTTATTGTATTGTCATTTTGTTATTTTTGATTTAATTTTTGTCTTTTTCTTTACTTGGTTTCAATAAAAATTTGATRCAAGTTTTTTTTAGTTCAATAAATAAAGTAATTGTTTACAAATAAGCATGGTGACGCTGTCACCCTCTAGATGTTAGAAATTAAAGGCGATTCATACTTACTTAGCTGCCATWCGAGTCCTTAGTTTTTTAGCTCTCTTCTTCAAAGCTTTCCTTCGTTCAAGGTTAGCTTTTTCTTGCTGTTCTGCTTGGTCTTTGGACATTTCTTTAATACATTGTAATGACATTACGTCCTTTAACAAAAAACACAAACACAAACTGAGAATGCATGAATTTATGCCTTTCAAAAATGGCGCGATTAGTCACGGTCGCCGACCAGGGCACTGGGGACGAAGCACTAAAACGAGGTCTCAAAAGGCCAGAGTTTGTATATTAATAAATATACATGGTGTCTTGCAAGAGTAATTTGTCATAAATGSCATACCAAGACATCTTTTAAACTTTGGCGCTGCCAAACACGCGATCTTCGTAAAGCATTTTTAATTTAAGTCCTTAGAGAACTCGTTTCCATGATAACTAGTCCCCAAATATGAGCGGTCGCGCACTACCAACATTTTTGAAAGAAGWGAAAGATGGGAAGAAGGGATAAAAAGAAGGGACAAAGTACAGAAAAACAGGAGATGCATCAYGAAAAATACTCTTCCATACCTTATCATCTGTTAGGTTCTTAAATCCACTAGTCTCTAAGAGAGCTTGTTGGTGTCTTTTACCTCTAAGATGACTGTATAAATACACTTCAGATACAATCTGCAATGGAAACAGAACGGTTCAATTAGAACTCCAAAGATTCGTCGAGTTTTGCTTTTCTTTTTCTTTAGGACTGTGAACAATAAAAAAGGTGCAAACTAATATGTTTTTGTAATATTTTTTGTATTCCTTTTCAYTCCCTTGAGGACGAAGAACAATATAAAAACACTACAAAAAAGTTAGAATTCGTCCACACCGACGCGTTTATGTATTGTTATTCATTCTCTTAAGGACGGTGAACAGTTACGAAAACACCACGAAACCGCATCACACTGGACGAGACTCAATGTTACTGATAAAGTCATTTGCGCTGAAATCGGCA